GATGTATTGTTATCAGAAATAAGTACCATTAGAGCTAAGATTAGTACCATAATATCCTTTAAAAAAAAATATGTGACTACCACTACAATAGGAGAAGATGTTAGATGGTTATTTGGTTTATTTTAAGAAGACAAACAGGAAATCACTGACCATTTAGAAGCAATTGACAAAAATAATCATATTAATCATAAAATAATCATAATAATTATATAATATTTTACATAAATTACTTAATAAAATTTGAAAATATAAAAAGAGCGAATCTGTTAATAATAATTTAAATGTAAACCCTTCTTCATCAAAGAATGTATAATGTATAAGAATGTATAAGTTATTATTATTAGTTTGCCTATTTTATTATTATTATATTATTATAGGAAAATTTTTTGTATTACTTTATTACAACAATGTCTATGTACAAAATTTTTTAATTTATAGAAAAAATAATGTTATACCATTTTAATACGGGCATTTTGTTACTTAATTGTAATTGTAATTGTAATTGTATAATTCAACAGTGACTGTTGAATCTGATGGTGGAGGAGTCATATATAGCACCTCAGTGTAACACATATCATATGACTACTTCATAAGTACAACTCGTGTACAATGCATTCTGACGGAATAAACTGCAAGTTGGCAGTTTTCGAGAGAATGCTTTGTTCACTGAGTTCTGCTGAATAAAGAGATTCTCATCATCATTTTCGACAATTCCGTTGGCTAGAATTAAGAATTAAAAAGAATAATAAGAGCAGTCTTAGAAGACGAACTTAAGCAAAAGGTTGTTTAATTTATCTATATGCATAAAAATCTGACCGTCAATTTCTTAGTTTTCAAAGCATGCTTCTCTTTTTGTATAATGTCACATGAACACCTCAAGCCTAACAATATTGCATCTTATTGTTTTCACTACTTCTATATGGAACTTGCTTGGCGGGGGAGAATAAACGTATTCACGCTTATAAAAAGGACATAAACGTATTCACGCTTATGAGAAGGGGACATAAACGCATTCACGCTTATGTGGAATTTGGTTGGAAGTACATAAACGTTTTTACGCTTATTTAAGGTTTAGTTAGGAAATTAATATATATATAATTCTTATATAAATGTTTATATAAATTAATATAGCAGAGTTTAGATAGGTATACGATGTCTTGTGAAAGGTTTACCACAAAGTTCTCCTGCGTACTTCTGACAAAGGCAATGTATAAGTAGATATGAAATCGCCTATAGCAAAAATGTACTCATTTTTCCAAGCACTATAATTGAACTTTTGTTCAGCAACCAAAAAATTGGTAAAGCTTTTGATACATGTTGAAAAGACCAAAGCTGTTTTGTTGAATTGCTTAAATTGATATTTTTAGCAACATTCTGTTACAAAGGAATGTTGATAATGATTTGGTATTTTATGCAAAAACAAATTAACTTGTATAAATATTGTTATTGTTAATATCGTTTATTTTCTTCTTTTTGTTTTCAATATGCGTATACAGACAAGAGTTTTTGCTTCATTTTAATAAAAAACAAAAATGCTATTAAGTTGGAGCCGAATATTGATATGAAATGAAATAATAAACATGCATCAAAACAAGTAATGCTGTTTTTTTTTTTTGTTTGGTTATAGCTGTAGTCTAAAAAAGTTCTTATTTTGTCATTCTCCTAATATTTAACTCGATTCTAATAGCAGTGATAATGATATATATACATATATACATACATATATATTTGCGTATTGTTTTTGGTAGGAGGACAAGAAATTGTAAAATTGTTACTTGCAGAGATTTTAATAGAACTTATTTTGATTTTATTTCGGGGAGTAATTATCGTGTGCGGTCCAATTTTAGATTTTAATTAATACTTAATCATAAGAGTAGTTTCTTTAAGGTTTAATTTTTAACATTTTTCGATTTGTGTTATTTCAACGTATAAACTTATTGTTAGAAATGTCACCTTATAAGCGTATTTGCTGTATAACTTCTTGTAGAAATAGAACACAGAAAGGCCTGAAGTTTTTTAATTTTCCAAAACAAGGCACAAAAAAGTATGAACAGTGAATAAGTGCATGTCATTGGTCATATGATCATATTATGTCTCTAAAAAAACCATTAATATGTGAACTGCATTTTCAAAAATAAGTAATTTAAAAAAAAAATTTTTTGTCATGCTATTCACTCCTTGGAACTGGGTGAAACCCACAATTGCATAACGGATGAAGAATTATATCAGTGCGACAAAGAACCGTTATGTGTTAGTGCAGCAATTGAGCCCGTTTGCACCCCTTACCATAAACGTGAAACAAATTTTAATTATTATTGTTGAGTTTAAAAAAGTTTATTTAACTAAAATAAATTACAGAGAGAAATAGTTACAGTAGTTGAACTATAAAAGAGGGGTTACCAATGTAATTAAAATAAACATTACTCTTTTTGCAATACTCCCACTTTTTAGTTACATTAGAATACTAGAGAGTTGTTTTAAACCAATCTGATTTCTAAAAAATATAAATTTTTTCTTTCGGAAGTGCTTTAGTAAGCCCGTCTGCAAGCTGATCACCAGATGCCACATATTTTAATTCGAAAGCCTTTTCATTGTATACATTTCTAATGAAATGATAACGAACATCAATGTGTTCTGTCCTTTTGTGAAATTCAGGATTTTTTACTAGACGAATTGCACTTTGGTTATCAATGCAGAACTCTATCTGCCCAGGATTCCCAAGATCAGACCAAAAACGCTTGACCCAAATTAATTCTTTTGCTGCACTAGCTGCTGCAATATATTTTGCTCCAGTTGTTGATAAAGAAATGCACTTCTGACGCTCAGAACACCAGCTTATTATACCTTTATCTACCATAAAAAGGAAACCTGAGGTAGATCTTCGAGTTTGCACATCACCTGCATAGTCAGCATCATTGTGCCCACGCAGATTAAGTTTGCTGTTACTCTGGTAGCAGATTCCTATGCCAGTCGTGCCATTTAAATATTTGATTATCCTTTTGACTGCATTAATGTGAGCTGTTGCTGGCTTCTCAAGATATCGACTTACGTTAGATACAGCAAAAGCTATATCTGGTCTTGTAGCTACTGCTAAATACGTAAGACTGCCAACCGCTTCCCTATATGGAAAATTGACTTCTGCATCAGATAAAAAATTACTCAAATTGCTTGCGCTGTCTGCAGGTGTAGTTACAATAGGAGAATTTTAGTATAAGCTTCCTGACCAATGTAAATTGATTCATCAGCCTTTCGATTAATTTCAATCCCCAAAAAATACTTTGCCTCAAAAATTTTTATTTTGAACGCTACTTCCAACTGAGCCATCAAATTAATTATAAGTTTACTATTTGTTGCAGCTACTAGACCATCATCAATATAGATAGCCATAATTATATAACCATCATCACTATTGCTGATAAAAACACAAGGATCATGCTCCGATACTTGCAACCCAAAACTTTGAAGAATTGTAGTAAATTTTTTATTCCAGCATCTTGATGCTTGCTTCAGCCCATATAAACTTTTCACCAGCTTACATACACGTCCACTGCCGTCATCGTAACCCATTGGTTGCTGCATGTAAATGTTTTCTTCTAAACTACCATTTAAGAATGCTGTCTTCTTACGTATTGCTGCCGTAGCCAAAATACAACGTATAGAAGTAAACCTTGCAACTGGACTAAATGTTTCTTCGTAATCAACTCCATATTCTTGGGTGAAACCCTTTACAACCAACCGCGCTTTATAGCGATCAATATTTCCTAGAGCATTTCGCTTTAGTTTGTAAATCCACCGATTTTTTATTATTTTTTGATCTAATGGTGTTTCAACAAGATTCCAAGTTTCATTCTCAATTAATGACTCGTACTCGTCATTCATTGCTGCTTGCCATTTTGCGCGATCATTTACCTGCATCGCTTCTTCAAAAGATTTAGGCTCCTCGCTTATCATAAGGGCTGCAATATGTTCCGAACCAGTTTTACTTCGAAGACGATTGGCAATGCAGCTCTTATTGTGGTTGTTCTTGTCATCATTGTTGAGAGCATCATAAAATACATTGTCCTCCGATATCTCATTATCATTACCTTTTTCCACTTCTTCATACCCATGAAGTTTTTTATCAGATTTTGATTCACGTTCTGAGCTGTGATTTTGCGAATTATATTCTAGAGATGACTGAACTTTGAGAGTTGCTGTGTCAGGTAAAAATTGAATATCGCACGAAATTTATATTTTTTGCGAGTTAGTGTTCCACACCCTTAAAGCTTTGCTGTTGTCTGCATAACCAACAAAAATACCTTTCCAGGCTTTTGCATCCAGTTTGCGTCGTTTTTCTTTAGGTATGTGCACATAAACTTCTTCACCAAAACTGCGGTGATGACTTATATTCGCCTGTTGTCCATACCACAACTCATATGGTGTTTTCTCGTTCACCGTACTAGTACCTGTACGATTTAATACGTAAACTGCGGTATTCACTGCCTCAGCCCAAAATTTCAAATCCATGTCATTAGCATAAATCATTGTACGCCCCAGTTCCATTACCGTTCGCATCTCACGTTCAGCACAGCCATTCTACTGCGGAGTATACGGCACCGTCCTTTCATGCCTTATACCAAATTGTGCAAATATTTTGAGCAATTCATCATTAACAAATTCCAAACCATTATCCGTACGCATGCGCTTTATTTTTTGTTGATCAACTTTCTCCGCTTGCATCAAGAAGCTTTTAATGGCATTTGGAACTTCCGATTTCTCTTTCAAGAAATAAAAAGAACGAAAATGAGAATAGTCATCTTTAATTAATAAGAAAAACCTGGCACCACCGATAGATTTTACTTGCAATGGACCACACACCTCTGCGAAACACAGTTCCCCGCAGCTTGTTGACCTCACTTGACATGATTTAAAACTGCTTCTGTGCTGCTTACCTAAAATGCATCCCTCGCATGTAAATTCCTTTTCCACAAAGCCAATATTGTTTTTATTCAGAATTTTCTTCACATGTGTTGCATTTTGGTGACCCATTCTTTCATGCCATACCATATTTGCAAAGGTAAGTTGTCGGCGACTGCTACATTTAACATGATGCCTTCTGGAACTTTAATCAGCATATTAAATAACTTTCCTCTTTGAACTCCCACTGCAACAGTACTTCCGTCTCCTCTGACAAATTTACAAGTACTACTGTTAGAATGGAATTTATAACCACGATCTAGTGCCTTTGTTGATAAAAATAAATTATATTGGATGCCTGGAACATAAAGTACATCTTTCAGTACTTTCTGCACCCATTTATGACCTTCACTAACCAAAACGACAATATTTCCTTTATCTGCCGCTTTAATAGCACGTCCATCGCCAACCCTGACTATATCATTGTGGTTTCTCAAACTTTCAAACCACTCCTTTATATGACACATATGATCCGTTGCTCCTGAGTCAAGAACCCAATTATTTTCACTACAGCTTGCATTTGTACTACACATTAAAGCTTCATAGCTTCTGCAATGATTTGCATTTGGTTCAACCTTTTTAATTTGTGGAGCATTACGTTTTAAATGGCCTTTGTCACCACACTTAAAGCACCCTTGACTCCTGGTCGTTGTTTTCACAAATTTATTTTGTTGCCCTTTAGTTGCTGGTCGGTATTGTCGTTTTGCTAAGAGAGCTTCTGATTTTTGTTTTTCCTGAGCACCCATTCTTATTTCTTCTGCCATAAGCCGTGCTCTCAAGGTGTTAAGATTCTGGTCCTCAGCGCGTACCGACTCCCATGCGCTATAAAAGTGATTGTATTCTGTTGGTAAAGACATTAATACGTTCGTAATTATCATTGAATCAGATATACATTCGCCTTGATCAAAAAAAAAATGTCGTCCTCCGGATCTTTAATATAACTATAATACTTCTGCTGCAAAAATAAAACGTTAGATCTTGACGTTTGTTCATACACACTTTTTATTGTATCCCACATTTCTTTTGCAGTCACACAATGAAGTATTTGCAACAAAGGTTGTTTACCCAGTGAAGTGCATATAGTACGACGAGCCCTTGCATCAATTTTCTGCCATACTAATTTTTTTTCTTCCTGCGGTAGTTCAGCCCCAGTCACCACTGCATACATATTACCAGCATCCAGAATTTGAATCATTTGGATGCCATTATTTCAGTATTTTTAGTATTATTTCGTAAAAAAAACTTTCAAAAAATTTAAACCAAAAACGTAATACTTTAGTAAAAAAGCACGTAAAAAAAAAACTAAACGGGAGTATATACTGTTTTTTAAAAAAAAAATTGCAGTAAAAAGACTTTATTAAAAAAAATACAGCTCGAGTGCAAGCTCTGGGCTCATAACCTGTTGAGTTTAAAAAAGTTTATTTAACTAATATAAATTACAGAGAGAAATAGTTACAGTAGTTGAACTATAAAAGAGGGGTTACCAATGTAATTAAAATGAACATTACTTTTTTTTCAATAATTATAGAAAACAAAACCGGGACTTAAACAAAAAATTGAAAAATTAACTGTTATGCGCAAACAATTTTTTAGGCAAAATAAAGCCATGAAAAGAAAGATTGAAAATTCAAAGAAAAAAGACAAAAAATTAAATTTTCCTCAACTAATTCAATATCAAAATATAGACTTTATATCACACGCTTCAGCTTATGCAAAAAATTTTTGTAAAATGATTTTAAAAAGCAAGAAAAAGGTGTAGTGATATTGAAAAAACGTGGCGCACCGTTGCAATTACAAGAACAAATATACTATTTGCTTCGCACATCGCAGGTATAAAAGGCGAAGCAAAAGCAGTAGACGGGGATTCAGCAAGACATCGAGCTGCGAACAGGTTGTTCCATAGTACACATGCTGAAAGCACCACAAATCGAAATTTACATCTCGATTTCTTTTTTTATTAATATTTTTTTTTTAATTTAATAGAAATACACATTTCTATTAAAATTTATTATCAAAAACGAAATTAACATTTCGTTAGTAATAGAAATATAAATTTCTATTACTCATTTACTAAAAACGAAATCATATTTTCGTTACTAAATTATAATTTTTAATACATATTTCTATTAAAAATTATTAGCAAAAACGAAATTAACATTTCGTTAGTAATAGAAATATAAATTTCTATTACTCATTTACCCATAACGAAACCCTATTTCGTTAATCATTTACTCGGTAAGGTGATAATAACCCATGAACATTATCACCCATACCAAATACATTTTTTAAAGAAGAAATTCACATTTCTTCAAACCTTTTTTCTTCAGGGGCGTCGAAAGTAATATTTCTACGCCAAATACATTGTTTTAGAGAAGAAATTCACATTTCTTCAACCCTTTTTTTTTTCTTCAGGGGCGTCGAAAGTAATATTTCTACGCCAAATACATTGTTTTAAAGAAAAAATTCACATTTCTTCAAAACATTTTTTTCTTCAGGGGCGTCGAAAGTAATATTTCTACGCCAAATACATTGTTTTAAAGAAGAAATTCACATTTCTTCAAACCACATCACCGCACCAACGTCACCATCCACCGTGTATTCACACGTTCCACTGTTCCTAACAAATAAATTTATTGTAGGACTGGACCTGGAATCCGGCGAGCAACACCCCGGCCAGAAAGGTTCGTTACAATATGTACAATAATATAAATACATGTTTCATTTGACTACGACTAGTTCATACAAAGAACTATCAAGCCGTTTTGTTACATTTCAGAATACTTATTAGAATTGACAAGTTGTCAAAGACCTAGTGTTAATAGTAGTAATCTAAATTATTATTAGACTATTAATTCGGGAGTAGATCTGAAGGCTTTGTTCGTTTAAGTCTTCTCAGCAGGCCAGATGTATTAGACAGATGGTTGACTGTCTCGTTTGGATGCTGTTGTAATTGTTGTAGGTGCTTTACCGCGAACTTTTGGATTACTGCAGCCACAGATTCGATCTTCAAGTCCCGATGGAGGTCAGTATTCCTAATAAACCACGGAGCGTTGACTAAGTTTCTTATAACTTTGTTTTGAAAGTTTTGAATGATTTGAATAGTGGATTTTGGTGCACATCCCCATAACTGGATTCCATACGTCCACACCGTTTGTGGACGTATGGACTTGCTTGTATATCATTAATTTATTGTTTAGAGAGACGGGTAATTTTTTCCTAAGAAGCCAATATAAATTTTTGTATTTGGATTCTAGTTCAACTCGTTTTTTCTTTATATGTTCTTTCCATTTCAACTTAGCATCTAAATTCATGCCAAGGTATTTAGCTGTGTTTGAGTATGGTATTCGAGCACTGCACATAGTTATCGGCAAATAGTCAATTTTTTTGTTTGTGAAATTTACATGGACGGATTTCGTTTGGTTGAGCTCAATTTTCCATTTTTTAGTCCAACTAATAATTTGATCAATGGAATGTTGCGTTGCTTCTGTTGATTCGTTTATGGTGTTTCCAGTGGTAATGATCGCTGTATCATCTGCAAACGTGGCAATAACTTTTTCTGGTGGGACTTGCAGGTAGGCTGTGTAAATTAGGTACAGAATTCGGCCAAGTATACTTCCCTGCGGTAGCCAAGTAAACTTCGACAAGTAATGTTAATATTCGATGAAATCGCTATTAAAAGAGATTTAAAATATAATGCTAAGTTCGACAAAATTGATGGATTTGTTGATTATGGAAAAAATTCCAGGAGGAAAAAATATTTGCGTATTTATGACAAGAAGTCTATGTGGTCATTGGAAACAAGTGTTGAACTATTCTGTACCTGCAAATTCCCGTTAATACATTGAAAATAATGATATATAAAAAATTGAAGGTTGTCTATCTGCTGGACCAAATGTAAGAGCATTAGTTTGTGATCTAATCCCAACAAACCAAGCCCTTAATAGAAAACTCGGTATTTGTAAAAATAATCCCTTCTTTATCTTTGAAACTAGGAATGATAAAAAAAAAATATTTTGTTTCTTTGATATCCCTCACATATTCAAATCGATTCGTAATAATTTATTGAAATTTCGTTTAAAAGATGGAGGTGACAATTGTGCCAATTGGGTTTTGACAGAGCTGTACCGAGTTGACTCGCAGTCATCTATTCGAGTGTGTCCAAGACTATGGTTTAGGCATATAGTCCCGGACAGATTTAAAAAAATGAAGGTTAACTTAGCTGTTCAAGTGCTCAGCGCCAGAACAGTTACCGGAACTCGCACTGGCTTAGAATGGAATTTATTTAATAAAAATAATTTGGCAGAAGAAACTGCATATATTTTTGATAAATTCAATAAAATATTTGATTGCCTAAATAGTAAATCATTGCATTCTGCCAACCTCTAACAGAAAAATCCATCAGTTAATGAATTCTGCTTTATTATTGGAAGAATAATTTTTGTTAATTTAATATATGGTTCCAAATTCTCTAATTGTGAAGAAGATGATGACGAAATGTTTGGCATTGATTGGACTACAATTTCTGTGGGCTACAAAAATTTGATGGAAGTGAATGCTGGAACTTTCAATGAAGAAGAGATTGAGGATGAAGCAGATAACGAAAATGGTTAAGAAAAAATAAATTCAACTAAAGAAATCAATTCCGAATATGGTTTGTTCCCTGCACTTTCTGATAATGCAATTAATTATTTTGCAGGATATATTTTGCATAAGCTTTTTAGAAAAACTACGCTGAAAAATTGCGAAAATTCCAGAAAAGATTGTATCAAATCGGATAATGTAATTATTGCGCCTTCCAATTGGTTTCTGTACTCCGAAATTATGAAAGTGATGGTAATTCTTGCTCGCTTTTTGCTCCTTCAAATTTTTTCTACGAATTATGTAAGCAGCACCTAAAAACTTTTGACAAACAATTTGATACCAACTGTTATAGAGACGGAATCTTACAGTTGATTGTAGCGTGCATAAGCATACACTATGTGAGTAAATAAGTATGCTGATATTTATTATACCTTTATTGTATTTTTGCAATATGAGCCCCTACCGTCCGTTTGACGATAGTGTTTGGGCTGTTGTGTGAAGACGCCAATTCAGCAAATTCTCACAGTATGCTAATGCACACTGCTCCTCCACAAATACCAACTTTGTAAAAAGATTTTAATTAATAAAACAGTCTTAAAACATAATTGAAATGATTCGGTTCTTTTTATTTAAACAAATCGGTATACGGGAATCATCACTACATGATAATAAATTTTTGTATTCTTGATGATCCACAATGGTGCTATTCAGAACACTTATTGTAACGACACACAGTAAATTTCTGTGTTACATATCGCAAGAACAAGCGAAAAAGAAAATCTGTGTGTCAACTAACTACTACCTCTACACATAATATAGATAAAAAAAATCACGTGAAGAAAACTGAAGTGGATTTAGCTAAAAAAATATGAAATTGAATTAAAATGTTTATTTATAAATCACATGGACATTACCTGCGATCCTCGGTTCCAGCGTGCCGCGGGCATCGATGCATGCAATGTGCAGAACCTAAAATATGCGATAAAAAAATGAATTTCTTGTTACAATTTATGAATGGAAAACTTGTACTGGAATTTTAAACACAACAACAAATGAACAATTATTACAGAAAACACATTTAATTATTTAAAAAAAATATTTATTTAAAAATATATAAATAAAATACAAAACAATTTAACACTCAGTTTGCACAATTTTTATTTCTTTATATACATAAAAAAATAAAACAAAACAAAACAAACTCCGACAATAACAAATCAACAAAACACGCCAACCCCATTTTTTTTTTTTTTTGATTATTTATTTTGTCACATTT